CATTTCGCTTCAGAAGGACACTCCAGCTTTCGCTTCAGGGAAAAACACTGAAGATTCTCTACTAATTGAGGCGGACGAGAAAAATCGAGCCGCCACTGAATTCACCTGTCCTGAGTCCCGAACGAAAATCGTAAAAAACGATATTCTTGAAAACGACAACAAAGTTGACAGATACCCTGCCGGCGGAAGAATGTCTGTTTTTCTTCGAGCGAAAATGGCCGAAGCTGCTTCAGTGCTTGCATCGAGAGAGGACGAGCAACCTGACATGACAATTTTAGCACCGTCTAATCCGAGCGACGACTCGAGTCTTATGGATTTCGATCGCCAAGCAGAATATACCGGAACCCTAGTCGGAAGAAAGGATGATCGTTTTTCGACGCCCGAAATGACGAATGACGCTCTCTTTGAAAAACAAGAACTTCGCAAAAACTTAATTGCGGACGACAATAAAAGTGTATCAACAAGGTCCAATGCGCTTGTTGAGAACAGGAACGGCCCTCTACAAATGAGTTCGACATGCTCCGCTCTCCATGTAGAATCCGTTCAAAAGACGCTTCCTGTTTCAAGTATTGCAGGAGCATCCGATCTAGAAAAACGGAATGTTGAAAATTATAGCTCGAGATTTCAAAAGCGTTCTCAACACGTCCACAATGCTGAACGTCAATCACCTACAGGCAGGGAAAAAGTTGGAACGAAAAGAAACGCTACAGACTCTTTATACGGTGGAATTGATGGAATCACGCCAGCAACGGGAGGCAAACGAAAGTCAAATCCATGCAATGTACCTTTGCACCGATTTGTTCGAGTACTCAAATCGATGATCGTAAATTTCCTCTTGCAATACGAGAAGGAACCAAACCAAAAGATCGATATTATTTCGAACTATGAAACAAATTGTAAAAGAATTTTCGTTGACGATGAAGAAAGACGCGGAATTTCTAAATTTGATCGTAATAAGAAAGCAGTATTTTTCGAAGAGCAACAAACTTTTGAGATAGATCGATTGTATGAAGAAAGAACTTCAGAAGATCGTGCTCGAATCCTCGCTCGTTTCATCAGTCATGCTTTTCTCATATGCGAAACTAACGGTTTCAATTTACTATTCTCGCGTGAGCATCTCAAATACTTTCTCGCGACCCATAAACGCTACGTTGGAATCGAAGATTTCAAACACGTGAATCAATTTGATATCGATTCCTACAATGCTCCTAATATTAACGGTAGAAACGTATCGAAACAATTATTTGGAGCGGCTAGCCGACGGGCGGAAAATGTAAACAACAGTAACGGCGCTAACAATAAGAGTTCAAGCGGAAGGAATTTTAACAAAAAAGGAATTCTTAAAACCGCTCGCAATAATATACTCATCGAATATCTTCGTTCTCCGCGGAATTTTGCTAACAGCTTTTCAAGATGCGAAGAAGATGATGTAGAGGCATTGCAATTCATCGTGCAGAATGATTTAAATCTCCCACGTGATTGGTATGAGGGTATGTATTTAAACGAAAATGATCCTGAAAAAAATTTGAACAACCGTTTTCCAATTTACAAAACGGATGCCGATAATACACAAGTCATGGACGGGTACAGGAAAATAGCCATTAACGACAAAGAACGAGCTCTAATATTCTTGAGCCCGAATTGCGTGTTAAGTTTGAAAGGCCAGCGTTTTGTTTTACCACACCCCAACATTTGTCGAGAATTTTCGGAGAAAACTCTACAATTGTTATCTAGTAACGGTATTGACTACATATTTGTAGAAATTTTAACTCCGAAAACGTTAGTGATCGATCTGTTGTACGTTTCTGTGAGTAGTAAAAAAAAAAAATGGGCAAACGAATATGTAGAAGAATTGGTGCAAAAATTTTCATGTCTAAGCCATGATGAGAGATTGGAATGTGCTCGTTGGTTACTACCGGAAATGCTTGTTGTCGAAGACTTCCAAAGCAACGACTATGACGGTAATTATATACGTAAATTTTCAGGACCTACCGGTAATGAATCGTATATTTTTCGAAGACCGAACCATAATATGGCGGCAATAGGTATGCAAAGAAACAATATTTTGCTGGCTTGTTTTGATGATGATGCTGCACGTCTCATTTACAAACTTAACGTGCCAATCTTTGGATCCATAGCTCAACTCTTCGGTGTTATACCGTTAAATTTTCAACGAGCGGCTATTCGGAATTGCAATAATGACACTGGGGAGAAGATTAGAAGGCTTGGAACGAACCTTCCGACAATTGAACTGAACGGAAAACTCATCGAGATCCAAAATCTAAAACAGTCCGATTTGATCGACCCTTCGGTGTGGATTGGACAGAATGTGTACTGCGCAGCAAATACAGATAAAATTGCTCTTTTTGAAACAGCCATCCTTGTTGAGTATAAAGAATCATTCCTCAATGTCAAGGATCAAGAAAAGATAATATCCGCTCCATCAACTGCTAAATTAGTGAGAGAGGTTGATCGCAAACCTTACGAAAGTTCCTCTACTGAGGAGAAGAAGACTACTTCCGGGACAATTCCTGCGGAAAAAGTAATGGCCTACATTGAAGATCCGAGATCCAGGCATCAACTTATAGATTTGCTCGTCAGATTTTCTGGCGGTCAAGATTTTTTGAGAAACCTTCAAGACAGGTTCACGAAAGAAAACTTACCGAACGATTTGAATTTGGGGTTCTAAAATTCAACGGTTGCAAGAGTACCATTTTCATTGGAGAATTGTCGTCGTAGATGCACAGTAGAATCTTTGCTGCCAGCTTTTGACCTCGTATGAGCCACAAGAGCGTCTTGTCGTAAACCAATTCTCATTGTTCCTCGGTGCATCAAAACAGTTTACCATGTGTTGCACACAGCAAATATTAATAGTTACATTAATTATATGGTACTTTATTACAACAGCAAAAAAGTCGATTTATAGAAACATCATTTAGTGAGAAATCAAAGAAGTTGAGTTAAAATGAAGTAACTTACCGGTCAATTTCATACGTCATCCGTACGTTCAAAGAGCACGCTCACTAATGTTCAGTGTTTGCACATCCTTGTTACTTTACGACATAACTTAGCAGATAGCGGCATTAATTGTTACTTTTTTGTAAAAGATTCTGAGTTGCCTACATTGAATAAAACTTTATTGTATACTTTTTCCGATTGTTTTTGGCATCGGCCCTTCCTTTTTTCCTCTTTTGTTTCCTATCTTTCTTTGTTTCTTGCATCATACACAAAATTGTAAACTGGATGATGAAATGTTTACGTAAAGAATGTGTGGAGGAAATTTTATATTATTTCATTTTTTTTAGATTAGTGTAATGAATTAATTAAGTTAGGTACCATTGAATGCTTCGGTGCGAATACCTTCAGTAATTATGGAAGTAACTAAAATTTTCACAGTAAATTTTACAATGATATAATTTGGAGATGAGCTGAAGTTCCTGATTGGATCATAATCAATATTGAACTTATTATTTCAAGAATACTAGTCTTGAAACATAATTTTGAATCTTTTCTTTCGAAAGATTTTGCTGTGCATTATCAACAGTTTTCATCGTTAAAATTGTATTCCCACCTGTCAAATGATATTTTTGACACGAATACAGATGCATTTCAGTTGCAATCCAAGTTTAAAAATAGTAGAGTTATAATTTGTGGAAAATATTTTTTCGTGTTCAATTTTATATTTTCCTAGCATTTTTTGAGCTTTTTTATCGTGAAAGAAAAAAAAATAATATGAAATTTCATTGAGAGGTTTGCAGCTAGGAAATTAATATCATGTTCTACAATAAAGAAAAATCTACAGTAAAATATGCCAAGGCGGAACTTTTCGTAGAATCAATCGGAAATTTTTTTAATGCAACCATCAGACGTCTTTTTGAAACTAGAGAGATGTTCTTTGAAACAATGAGAACTTCGGTTGTTACAACAAGAATTCCTGCCGCGGCATATTTAACTGTACCAAATTCTGTTGGTTCAACGGAAAATTTTTCTCAGTGTATGGTTTTCAAATGAAACGTTGTTTTGTAGATGGAGAAAAAATAAAGAATACAACTTACGAATTATGTCAAAAAATTATAAATTATATTGTAAGCATAGTTAAAATTTACGACGGTGAAACGAATATTAATTTACGTATGAGACGGTGACAATGATTGCATGTATATGCACATTCACAATAACAAAACATTTCAGAGCCTCTGCCTAACGATGAAAAAAAGATTTCGTGTTTTAATTGACACAGCGCATTTTGTTTCATTTACTTGAGTGTGCTTTAGTACAGTGAGGCATTTACAAATTTAAAACAAGCACTACTTCCTCCACCTTTACAGATGAACCAACTTTAGCAGGCTACAATTCTGTGACTCATCCTAAACTACACAAATACACAACATAGCACTTACATCTAATTTCGCTATTCACTTTAACTAAAGTCATATCTAAAAAATTTGAGGCAGTTGTTATTCTCAATTTCAAGGGTACATTTGATGGTGGGATTTAAACTGTTGAAGAATTCAAGAATAGCATGCGTATCCTCTTTTTTTACACAAGAAAAAATATCGTCGACACACCACTTGTATATCCAAATTCCAATGGAGACAAACTCAAGGCAGTAGGTACTTTTGATGCGTTCCATTGACATGTTGGCCAACAGGCAACAGCCGAAAGGCTACCTCCCATGGTCGAACCCGAAATTTGCTAATAAAACACATCGTCAAATTGACAGATGGCGGAGGTGAGGCACACTATTAAAGTACTAAAAATCTGTTCTTTAGGTAACGGACAGAACATTTCAACTTCTTCTCATTTCAGTTCCACACATCGGAGGGCAAAATCAGCAAATACGTTAGTGTACATGCTAACTACATCAAGAGATATTAAATCATAATCGTCAGGTACTTAATGTTTCAGCATTGATTAAATCCAAAAATTCCGAAGAGTTTCGAATATATATAATAATATTACAATAATACGTATACACATATACATAACATTTAAACGACTCACCAAAGCTGATCGTAAAGAGCGCTTATGTAATTTATCGCCATCTGCACTGCCTCGAGCCGGGTAAGTCGCCGGTCGTTGCCGAGCGAAGGGAGGACTTTGCGGAGTTTGTCCCAAGCATCGTTGAGAGCTCGACTCCTCTGTCTCTCCCTGTCCCACTTCAAAATCGTTCTCTTCATGACGTCCGAATTCTCAAACTTGGCACTGCAGCAGCACCGCTGGTGCTTGTTCCTACTGCTCGAGGAGAAGCTCTCTTCGTCGAAGCCTTCCAGGGAGTCCTCATCGTCGACCGGGTCATCGCGTTGGAGCGTCTGTTTCTGGGGAATACCCGAGGATTCGGGACTCGGGGAACTCATCTCCTTTTTGAGGACATTCTCCGCTTCAGCTATCATACGACGTAAATTCTCCGGATTAGGCGTGTGGCACCAGTCGGAATAGCCGTCTTTGTGCCAATCGGCGGATAGGAACGAGGGCTGTTCCTTCTCCATGAAAAACTCGGTAGACTGTTCGTCGTGACAAGAAAAAATAAATGTCTCGTCAAAATGAAAAAATGTTGATGAATGATTAATTTTTCTTAGGAAAAAAGAGAAGAAAAAATAAAAAACACTTCCTTGAATGTTCACAATCCTTGTTTTCGCTAACGATGAACGAGATGAGAAAAGGCGCACTTTTTTGTATTTTAAGTAGTAAGCAAAAACGGGATATTGTCGAAGGAGACTTCGTAACGGCGGCGCTAAGGCAAACGGTGCAATGAAGAGGCAAGACTGAATTAGGAACGCTTAAATATTACGTAGGAACTTTCACTTCTACCAATAATTATTAAAGTGTACTGCGCGGATATCTAAAACACCTAAACTACTCTAGATCTTCAACCAACCAACTTGTCAGTGGCTGTTTGTGCTAGTCACTAAGGCCAAGCCCTCATCCGGACGAATCTTATAAACAATAAACAACAAACAAAAGCGTGACTTCGTCCAAGTAATTTAGAGGCGGCTCCCAGATCCAGGTTGGGAAGGGGCTCGGCAGGGGGCTTCCGAGCAAGGGAACTATCAATGACCGACTGGAACGTTACGGCTCGGAAACTGAATCGTGGATCTTGGCTCGTAGCAATCAAAAATCATTTATTGTCAACGGAGATATAAACGCAAAGTAGAAAAATGAGCGCATCGCTGAAAAGAATCCAGCAGACACACACACATACTTCAGAATACTCTAATTCAATCTTTAAAATTCCAATGGAATTTTTAGGCTTTTTTCAAGGGAGGGGGGGGGGGCTTGTTTCCTCGCAGAACAGTGCGGGTCAAGTACTATTCTACCAACGCCTTATTTTTTTAAAATATAACCCCCGTTTGTCACTATTTATTTCATCACTTAAATACCAACGATCGTATTATATTTTCCTCGAATATTGTTAGCAAAATTAACTTCATTAACTCAGCAGAAAGCATTCAGACTTTGTTCATACAAAGTGATCAATTAAAAAAAACAGCATTAAATTGTGTTTTTCAATCTCCCTATTACTCTTTTGCTGCATTTTTTCTTGAGTGAAACTTTGATTCAATAACAAAAATAATCGAAAAAAAATAAATACTACTTATTGGTTGCAAACCCTATTGATATGTTATAAAGGAGCTTGTTAACCTGTTTCAAATTCTTGCATTTTCAGAAATTACAGTATCGCCTGGTCATACAGAAATTTCTTCAGATTTTTCCGAGCCGTTTGTATCAAAAAGAAAAGAAAAAAAAGAAGAAAAAAAAAGAATCGAGGAATTTACTTTCATTACTCTGAAACTTTTTGCCTGTGTCGTTTAAGATGCGATTTGATGACTCGCGGTTTTTCGGAAATGAGTGTTTGGTTCCGAGAGCACTACCATCAGTTGCTGCACATCTCTGTGCAATGATTGTAACGTGGTTGACGAAGCATCTTCCGTTGTGATGTAAACATGTTTCAAATTCTTGCATTTTCAGAAATTACAGTATCGCCTGATCATACAGTAATTTCTTCAGATTTTTCCGAGCCGTTTGTATCAAAAAGAAAAGAAAAAAAAGAAGAAGAAAAAAGAATCGAGGAATTTACTTTCATTACTGTGAAACTTTTTGTCTGTGTCGTTTAAATGCGATTTGATGACTTGCGGTTTTTCGGAAATGAGTGGTTGGTTCCGAGAGCACTACCATCAGTTGCTGCACATCTCTGTGCAATGATTGTAACGTGGTTGACGAAGGATCTTCCGTTGTGATGTTAAAAGCTTTACAGTTTTTCACTTTGCAGCAATTCTATATATTGTTGTGGATCTTTAATCAGTCTCTGAAAGATGTCGGACTCTAAAAAGTTTTTTAAAAAAACTAAATCGAAAAAATAATATTTTTCCCCGAAGATCTCCCTCTCTTGTTTACCTAAGATTCGCTCGTATTCATCGTACATTTTTATCGAAAAAAGTTGCTTTAGTTTCTCGTGCTTTTTCAAAATCCCTATTAGTTTTTGAATACGCTCTCTGGGAGTTTCAAGCTGACATAACGCAACCATGATATTATGACCTCTGTCATAATTGTATGCCATATCACTCAACATCAGCTTGGAATACTTTAATCGGCGCCATCTGCTGATGTTGCGAGTTCTAATTAAAATGTCAATTAAAAAACCTGCTAAGTTATTAATCACGCAAGTATCTAAACTGTAGCCGGAGACAGGTTTTGATTGTTGCGCAATTTCAACAAAGACAAGAGTTATATTGAAAATTTTTGCAACCGTATTGCACAATTTAGATTTGTCAAAGAGAATGGTGCGAAGGAAATGACCGAGTATATAGTAAATACGGTTTAAATCGGTATCGTTATTCTCTAATCTAGCTTGTTCCACCAGATCACGTTTATTTTTCAACTGACTGTATGAAACTATTCCTCTCCAAGAGCACTTTTCGTAATCTTTCAAAATGTGGGTGCGAGGATCATTTGTGAACCGTCGTATTATATCGAAACTGATCCCTTCACCACATACATCTTTATATTCCTCGTCAGTTTCATGACTCTCAATCATCGATAAAACCGTTTCAGTAATGTCCATGTATTTCACGAGCGACTTCCAACAGTCTAATTCTGACTGATCTTTTGAAGTTACAGTTTCTGAGAGTCGCAAAAAGTTCATTTGGATCTTGAATTTTTCTCGGAAAATTTCGTACTGACGAGAGTTTGACGCTGAATCTATCTCTAAGGCTTGAGACATAATTTTTTTCAAAGTCTTATATTCTATTTGATAAAGATTCATTTCAGGACGATCCCGACCATTTTCCTCTGCATCTACGAAAATCATTGGTATTGAAACGTACACCCAATCTTCTATTTTATTAACTTCTAACGGATAAGCCTCATTAGTAACATGTTGTGTTAATTTTGCAGTAGTTTTTAACGGTATTTCTTTCATTAACGGGACAAATACTGGCCTTTCTGAGTGAACCACGAGCTGTTCATATTCAGAGTCGATTTTGAACGGCGGATCGCAAAGTTCGTCCACTTTTGGTCGAGCAATCGCCTCAGAACATTCTCCTCCTTTGATATGAGCTTCAAGTTCCTTCGGTCCAAGGGTTTTTTCCTCTAGGAAATCCGCAAGTTTGCTTGGTTTTTGCTGAATTGTATGATTTAACTTGCAACTTTCTACGATTAAGGTATCCGGTTCGAAGTCACCCCTTGCTAATGGGCTGCTTGGAAATTTTATTGGATTATATGAAAGTGTACCTCCGAAAAGGACCGGAGGCGATTCGAATATTTGCTCGGGGTGATTTTCCGATTGTAAACTCGAAAAATCAATTCGACGTCGTTGAGATGAGCATGCAAAAAGAGGAGGTTTCTCGCGCGAATCCCCTTCGAATGCTAGTGATGTAGACGAATTAGAAATCCCTTCCGGTGAGCCTGTGAGAGCGCAATCGACAACGCGCGACTCTCTCTCAGGAGCATGCCGTTTTGCTTGTGGTACTTTGAAGTAGTGCTTCCGCCTAGGCATATTTGGATCGATAAAGTTGGATTTAAACTTTTCAGGCCGTCAAGGTATTCAAAAGCTTGATCGTGTACTTTAGCTTTCCGCTTATATTCAATACTATATTATCCATCGGCACTTGGAATCAACTTTTTAAGCGTATATGTTCGTGGGATCACCAACCGTTACAGTTATGTATCGATCATGACCGACAACTTGTTCACCGTTGGTCGAGTAAACGCGGGATATTCTCATTATTTTGAAAAAGGAACGAATTATTCGCATTAAATATTCATCGATCGTTTTTATACTGCTTACGTGTGTCCGTGAGAGAGTAGCATCATTATTTCGAATTCCGGACAAATGAACCTTAGATTTTACCCAAAATATCAAATCCTTCTCCGGAAAATGAAAATATCCGCTATGGTCATCGATGCAAGTGAAATTACCGGGCATTATCAATATTATTAGAGCGTGATTAGAAGGTGGAACGAATTGGTACATCGCACCCGCGCGTGAGTCAAAGTAGACATTACTCTCCGTGAATCTATCTTGAAAGTAGCGGTACTCGAGCAGGATCATATCCTCCGCATTGTTCGTACTAGCAATCACAGTTTCACCAAAGCGTGGATCGACATAGCTCGTGTAAAAATTATGCTCCGGTATAACCTTTTGAACGGTCCGCACATACGGTATGTTTAACGATTTTAGTGGGTGAGTTGCGACAGTCTCGTTTATTTTCAGAGTGTTCAGGAGCTCAGCATCAAGGTTTACATCCGTAAAAGCAAACAATCTACCGTACGCATAACCTTGATCGTCTATGAGATCGGTTTTTTTTCGCACGGCGCGATTCACCCTGGCCCATACTCCATCAGGCACCGCACGGATCGTTATTGGAACGATCTGACCTAGGCGATCACGAATGAATCTTTCCTCTCCTTGAACAAATGAATCTATAGGAAGGCGAACCCGATACGGAAGCGCATACGTGAATAAGTTAGGTACATATTCGCGCTCGAAAATTATGTTCCGATGCTGATCTTCCAATGCGGCGATGGCAAAAGGCACAAGACCCTTATTTCTGGCCATATTTGCACGCGCTAAATATTCTATATCTTCTGTCTCCTTTTTAAGGAATAAAAAGAGACTGAAGGTTTACCATTCAAGTGAGATAAATCCAAATGAGAGCAAAAAGGCAACAGAAATGACCGTAACCATTGGCACAACAGTGAAATTGTATATAATCAGCTCAGTCAGTCTAGGAAAATTAGTTCGCACGAGAATGAACATCGGAGCAGAAACATTATCGGGCACTTTTTTCGATGGAGGACATGTCAATATGCTATTGAAAAGAACTTCCTTCGCTGTGAATAAATTTAAAAATGAAGATGTTTCACAGAATACTCGATACGATGTGGAAATGTCTTGTTCAGCAGCATCACGTATCGAATAGAACAAACGAAGTACCTAAAGGAGGCTTGTTTCTTCGTTCGGCTTTTTAGTGGGATTCTAGATTAAAAC